ACAAAAAATGTACGAGAGAGAGAGAAAAAAATAATAATAATTTGGCTGTCATCCTAGATTTGGTCACATTGAAAATATATTCAGAGAAGATTGATGGATATTACAGCTTTTAGCCGATAACACGGCTACCTTTATCTTATTGATTTTAAAAATTGAATATGTGATGATTGATATTGCACGTCTTGGTTATGACAGATACTTATTGTTATCGATGAAAGCCAAGACGTTTTCGACATTTAAATGTCGCTGTCAGGATTTTAAAAGACTGCATTGGATGTATATATGTGGAATGAGATTTGTGGGTGTTGTCAGATGTCTTTATCTTTTTTTTTATTTTAAATATTTTGTCCCATTTAATCAATCTTTTAGGTTACATGCATCCGTCTTTCCTGTTTATATTAGTCTTTTGCGTACTTAATTTCTATGGTTGTGATTCATACCTAATAATGTATGAATTGCCTGTTATTCAAGGTGAATTTAACATTTCAGGCCAAAGTAACTGAATTAGAAAGTTCTCTAAATCAGCTCGCTTTTAAGTCAGATATTTTGGCCATAAATTTGAAATCCACTTTGAATTCTTTACAAATCACAATTTTGTTAATAACCGTGGGAGAGAAAGAACGTGGAACATGAAGAAGGTATTTGTACACATAGAACCCAAAACATTGGATTTGTGTTAAACTGAAATGACATATAGAAATGTAGTGATTATATTATAGAGTGTGTGCCGTTAGTGTTCTGGGCTGGATTATTTGTGATTGTTTGATATATAATTATAGACAATATTACAGTCAATGTTATCACAAAAGTTATGTCACCTCAAACTAAAAACATGATCGCTACTCTTTGCAGCTTTGGGAATTAAAAATAAAATTCCAGAATAGCTAAGCACACCATTGTAAGGGTAATTAGTGAAAATGTGCCAGGAAGGATCGTTCAAGTTACTTAAAGTGTGATTTATAGGGAACAATTAGGAATGTATAGAGTGCCTTTTTAGGAAGAAACCCGGCACTGATCTTGGATGGGTTTGAAACAGAAAGAGGAGGCATCAAGTTTATCAAAAAATGGCCTCCCTACCTCGCCAGTGATGATGCCAAGACATCAGATCAGCTGCCCCCTCACTGGGAGCAGTGGCAGATGCTGGCATTAGAGTTACATTTGCCTTTGATGCTGGTTGGCACAGCGTGGGGAGGATGTAGAGCTGGCACATGGCTCTGTCCTGATGGCTACAGGGCAGAAGAGAAAGATGGCACAGCAGGGAGCCAGCTGTACCTCAGGTGCCATCTCAATAGGGCACAGTAACTCTGTCAGTACTGGATATTCGGATATAGAACGCAAAGCACATGGGCCGTCCCTACCCATAAATGCCCAGAACCAAGACTCACGCTCGGCTCATCAGCCCAAATAATTGTGTTTCAATATAAGACACTGTTAATATTTCTTTAAAACCATTTAGCAACTAAATCAGTGAGGCTAAATTATTTTGTTTTTAACAATGTTACTATTTTGGCCTAAATACCCTTTGCTACCACGGTACAGCTCACTGTTTAGTCTCAGTATTTTCACGCCCCACCATTGTTCTAGCTCTTTGTATTTCTGGCCTTGCTCATGTTGTCTTCCATTTGGCTGTGTTCCATTTGGTAATGTACAGGGTGTCTGTGTATTGATTACCAATATTTATTACAGCGTTTTATTTATAGCACTAACATATGCCACAGTGCAGTATGACTGACATAAATCCCCGTCCGTTTTGCACCCAAACCAGCCTCGTTTGTTGGAGTAACCTTTTTAGATATAGATAATTGCAGCCTCGTTTGATGGGGTGACCTTTTTAGATTTAGATAACTGCAGCTTCGTTTAATGCCTGTGTGTGAGGGATCCATTTGTGTGTAAATGTGAGGGTTGTTGTACGTTTCCCAAGCCACATGTAGAATGTACATAAACAAATGACAATGTACAGACCTCTGTGAGAACTTCCCACCCCGCTCTACCAATGAAATATTTGAACTAATATAAGGGTGGAAATAACTGATAGAAGTTTAGAACGGACACAGAAAGCACTTATACATTAAAGGACCACAATAGGCACCCAGACCACTTCAGCTTAATGAAATGGTCTGGGTGCCAGGTCCAGCTAGGGTTAACCCATTCTTTTATAAACATATTATATAAATATATTTATTAATGGGTTAAGCCTTCCCCCTAATCCTCTAGTGGCTGTCTAATTGACAGCCACTAGAGGCGCTTGCGTGATTCTCACTGTGATTTTCACAGTGAGAGCACGCCAGCGTCCATAGGAAAGCATTATGAATGCTGTGACCGGCTGAATGCGTGCGCAGCTCTTGCCGCGCATGCACATTCAGCCGACGGGGTGGAACAGAGGAGGAGAGCTCCCCGCCCAGCGCTGGAAAAAGGTATGTTTAATCCCCTTTCCCCCTTCCAGAGCCGGGCGGGAGGGGGTCCCTGACGGTGGGGGCACCCTCAGGGCACTATAGTGCCAGGAAAACGAGTATGTTTTCCTGGCACTATAGTGGTCCTTTAAATATGTTATTATTTCCTGGACTCGGTGCAAGAGTGAGGGGCCTCAAAATGTCCACTCAACATTCCTGAGTGATTTAGCCCCAATGAGTAGAAATCCTGGTGAGTGTGCCATGGCCCCCTCCAGGCTTGGCTAGCAGTGTAGGCCTTACATTGTTTACTAAACCTGGAAAATGGTTATTTGCAGGAAAGGGGGGAGGGAGTTGTTACCTTAATAGCCACAATGAGAAATGATGGTAAATTGGGTTTGGAACCTACAGCAGTTATAAAAAGCCTTAAGACTTTGCTTCCAGTACTTAATAAAAAAAAGTACGATTTTGGATTAGTTCTTCAGGTTCTCTGAAATGAAAAATCGCAGTACGTGCTTTGTGTGCTATTTGGAGAGTTTGGTAGACTTGTCAGAGCAAACAAAAAAAGATTTCCTTGATCCCAGCCAATAAAACGAGCAACCTGGCTTCATTCTCTCCCATTCTCTCCCATTGATCCGGAAACTTGCCGTAAATGTTTCATATCTCACATAGTGAATGTAGTATATATCCCTATTGAGTATAAAAAAAAACAAAAAAACATATTTATATAATGAAAGCAATAAAATAAGAAATATCGTTTTTTTACAACGCGGACCCTTTAGATGGAGTAAGTAATTAAAATGAACTACGTACCATGTGCTTGGACAGATTCACTCATTATTTTATCTGGAATAATTTTGAGCGTAAACGGCTGAAATCATGGTCCTGCTAGGATCCTCACCTACACCGCAGCGCGTCTTGCCATTACGCTTCCGTTTAGGAATTTCTGACATGAAATCAATCATGTAATTAGAAATTGCGGATTGTGGAGTGATTGAAGGAGACAGGTGTTTAACCCTTTGCAGGCTGGCTGTGTCCCTGCTGATAGCTTATTGCAGACTTTGCTGAAATGGTGCATACATACTGGATGTAATTAGCTGAATAGCGTTAACACTTTCTTTACCAATTTTGAACAGTCAAAGCTATAATAAAAACAGTCAAACAATCCGCCTGACTGTAAGTGGGGGGTGGGGGGAGTACAAGCAGGGGCATTAACTTAGGTTTTGTACCCCAGGCTAAAATAAAGTACAGTCGTTCTCTCTTATTGCCTCGTTTCTGAGGATTAGTGTGATTTATCACAGACAGCGGAATTCACTAAACACGCGAGTTGGCGAAATTATTTAGCCACGTTCTCGCCAAAGCTGGAATACTTTAAACAGGCTTCTGTAATTTGAATCTAAATTTCCCACAGCTTGGAGTTTAGTGACTATAACCCTGTTATTTTTGCCTTTGCTGTGTAAGTAGTCATAAAGTTTCCAAAGTCTCTTTTTAAATTTGCTACATCTCATTGTTACATTATTATTCTCCCCCAGTTCTTGTTCTGTATGGGTGGCCCTGTTTTATCCCAGATTTTAGTACACTCTCCGACACTCCCTCTCCCCTAACAAAGTACCTGGAGACCGCTGAGAAAGATCTTTGATCTCTCCATTGGCCTGAAAAGGCACACAAAGAGACCACCTCTGCATGGGTGGAGATGACCTACACCCATGGCCATCGCAGTGGGGCCCCTATGCTTATGGCAACTGCCCACCATACCCACCATAACTGCCCACCATACCCACCATAACTGCCCACCATACCCACGTGGAAAGATGACCCAGTGCAGTGTAACACCAGATCTTAGTACACTCCCCCTGTTCTTGTCATGTTACTCCAGATCTTAGTAATCTCCCCAGTTCTTGTCATGTAACCCCAAATCTTAGAACACTACCACAGTACTTGTCATGTAACCCCAAATCTTAGTACACTCCCACAGTACTTGTCATGTTACCCCTGATCTTAGTACACTTCCCCAGTTCTTGTCATGTTACCCCAGATCTTAGTACACTACCACAGTACTTGTCATGTAACCCCAAATCTTAGTACACTCCCCCAGTACTTGTCATGTTACCCCTGATCTTAGTACACTTCCCCAGTTCTTGTCATGTTACCCCAGATCTTAGTACACTACCACAGTACTTGTCATGTAACCCCAAATCTTAGTACACTCCCACAGTACTTGTCATGTTACCCCTGATCTTAGTACACTTCCCCAGTTCTTGTCATGTTACCCCAGATCTTAGTACACTACCACAGTACTTGTCATGTAACCCCAAATCTTAGTACACTCCCACAGTACTTGTCATGTTACCCCTGATCTTAGTACACTTCCCCAGTTCTTGTCATGTTACCCCAGATCTCGGTATACTCCCCAGAGTTTGCAATGTTACCCCAGATCTTAGTACACTACCCCAATTCTTGTCCTGTTACCCCAGATCTTAGTGCACTCCCCCAATTCTTGTCATGTTGCCACAGGTCTTAGTAAACTCCTCCAGTTATCATCATGTTATCCCGGATCTTAGAACTCTCCCCAGTTCTTGTCATGTTACCCCAGATCTTAGTACATTCCCCAAGAGTTCTCATCATGTTACCCCAGATCTTAGAATTCTCCCCAGTTCTTGTCATGTTACCCCAGATCTTAGAACTCTCCCCAGTTCTTGTCATGTTACCCCAGATCGTATTACTCTTCACTAGAGCTTACTAGGTGACCCCAGGGCGTTGCCAATTAAACCAGCGCATTTCATGGTTGCAGGAACCCAGGCTTCCTGTCTTGGGCAAAAAGATATGCCGCTATTTAAAGTTTCCGTAAAAATAAAAATGTGAAAGTAATTTATTTATGCAATAAAAAGCCAGCAATCGTATGTAACCATCTCTTTGCATCCCGCCTTATCTGGCTATTTATCATTTAGATGCACATAACACAGCAGTTTATATGGTTTTATTTTGATCTCTATCTGTTGAAATAATAAAGTACTTTAAATCCCTTTGGGCAGAGTATTCCATTTTAGATACTTGGCTTGAGGCCTGAAGCTATAAAAAGGAATCCAATTTGTGTTAGAAGAAAACACTCCCTCTTTCTAATGTTTGTCACTACAGAAAGTAGTGTGTTCCTCGGTGCTACCTTCATTCTGCACCTCACAACATTCCTGACACCAGTATGTTCAGATACAATGGACCAATTGGTAAAACTTTATCGCTGTTATCAACTAAGTAGTTAAGTAACCTCTTTAAAACTAATCTCTGCACCCCGATACTTGTACCATTCAGTTACCTATTATACACTATACACACTGCTACCATTCAGTTACCATATACATCATACACACTGCACCCCGATACTTGTAGCATTCAGTTACCTATCATACACTATACACACTGCACCCCGATACTTGTACCATTCAGTTACCATATACATCATACACACTGCACCCCGACACTTGTACCATTCAGTTACCTATCATACACTATACACACTGCACCCCGATACTTGTACCATTCAGTTACCATATACATCATACACACTGCACCCCGATACTTGTACCATTCAGTTACCTATCATACACTATACACACTGCACCCCGATACTTGTACCATTCAGTTAACATATACATCATACACACTGCACCCCAATACTTGTACCATTCAGTCACCATATACATCATACACAGTGCACCCCGATACTTGTATCATTCAATTACCATATACATCATGCACACTGCGCCCCGATACTTGTACCATTCAGTTACTATATACATCATACACACTGCACCCCGATACATGTACCATTCAGTTACCTATTATACACTATACAAACTGCACCACAATACTTTTGGATCAACAGCAAAAAACAAATGTGAGGAAGGCGGAACTTGATGGACGCAAGTCTCTTTTCAGCTATGTAACTATGTAACTATATACATCATACACACTGCGCCCCAATACTTGTACCATTCAGTTACCTGTTATACACCATACATACTGCACCCCGATACTTGTACCATTCAGTTACCATATACATCATGCACACTGCGCCCCCCAATACTTGTAACATTCAGTTACCGTATACATCATACACACTGTGCCCCGATACTTATACCATTCAGGTACCATATACACCATACACACTGTGCCCCAATACTTGTACTATTCAGTTACTATATACATCATACACACTGCACCCCGATACTTGTACCATTCAGTTACCTATCATACACTATACACACTGCACCCCGATACTTGTACCATTCAGTTACCATATACATCATACACACTGCACCCCGATACTTGTACCATTCAGTTAACATATACATCATACACACTGCACCCCAATACTTGTACCATTCAGTCACCATATACATCATACACAGTGCACCCCGATACTTGTATCATTCAATTACCATATACATCATGCACACTGCGCCCCGATACTTGTACCATTCAGTTACTATATACATCATACACACTGCACCCCGATACATGTACCATTCAGTTACCTATTATACACTATACAAACTGCACCACAATACTTTTGGATCAACAGCAAAAAACAAATGTGAGGAAGGCGGAACTTGATGGACGCAAGTCTCTTTTCAGCTATGTAACTATGTAACTATATACATCATACACACTGCGCCCCAATACTTGTACCATTCAGTTACCTGTTATACACCATACATACTGCACCCCGATACTTGTACCATTCAGTTACCATATACATCATGCACACTGCGCCCCCCAATACTTGTAACATTCAGTTACCGTATACATCATACACACTGTGCCCCGATACTTATACCATTCAGGTACCATATACACCATACACACTGTGCCCCAATACTTGTACTATTCAGTTACTATATACATCATACACACTGCACCCCGATACTTGTACCATTCAGGTACTATATACATCATACACACTGCGCCCCGATACTTATACCATTCAGGTACCATATACATCATACACACTGCACCCCGATACTTGTACCATTCAGTTACCTATCATACACTATACACACTGCACCCCGATACTTGTACCATTCAGTTAACATATACATCATACACACTGCACCCCAATACTTGTACCATTCAGTCACCATATACATCATACACAGTGCACCCCGATACTTGTATCATTCAATTACCATATACATCATGCACACTGCACCCCGATACTTGTACCATTCAGTTACTATATACATCATACACACTGCACCCCGATACATGTACCATTCAGTTACCTATTATACACTATACAAACTGCACCACAATACTTTTGGATCAACAGCAAAAAACAAATGTGAGGAAGGCGGAACTTGATGGACGCAAGTCTCTTTTCAGCTATGTAACTATGTAACTATATACATCATACACACTGCGCCCCAATACTTGTACCATTCAGTTACCTGTTATACACCATACATACTGCACCCCGATACTTGTACCATTCAGTTACCATATACATCATACACACTGCGCCCCCCAATACTTGTAACATTCAGTTACCGTATACATCATACACACTGTGCCCCGATACTTATACCATTCAGGTACCATATACACCATACACACTGTGCCCCAATACTTGTACTATTCAGTTACTATATACATCATACACACTGCACCCCGATACTTGTACCATTCAGGTACTATATACATCATGCACACTGCGCCCCGATACTTATACCATTCAGGTACCATATACATCATACACACTGCACCCCGATACTTGTACCATTCAGTTACCTATAATACACCATGCATACTGCACCCCGATACTTGTACCATTCAGGTACCATATACACCATACACACTGCGCCACGATACTTATACCATTCAGGTACCATATACAACATACACACTGCGCCCCGATACATATACCATTCAGTTACTATATACATCATACATACTGCGCCCTGATACTTGTACCATTCAGGTACCATATACATCATACACACTGCGCTCCGATACTTGTACCATTCAGGTACCATATACATCATACACACTGCGTCCCAATACTTGTATCATTCAATTACCATATACATCATACACTCTGCGTCCCGATACTTGTACCATTCAGTTACCTATAATACACCATGCATACTGCACCCCGATACTTGTACCATTCAGGTACCATATAAACCATACACACTGCGCCCCGATACTTATACCATTCAGGTACCATATACAACATACACACTGCGCCCCGATACTTATACCATTCAGTTACTATATACATCATACATACTGCGCCCTGATACTTGTACCATTCAGGTACCATATACATCATACACACTGCGCTCCGATACTTGTACCATTCAGGTACCATATACATCATACACACTGCGCTCCGATACTTATACCATTCAGGTACCATATACATCATACACACTGCGTACCAATACTTGTACCATTCAGGTACCATATACATCATACACACTGCGCTCCGATACTTGTATCATTCAATTACCATATACATCATACACTCTGCATCCCGATACTTGTAGCGATTGTTCACTAAAATTATTATTTTAGCATTTTTTATTGCTACAGAGAGCACTATTATCTGCCTTTCTACATTCTTGTCATTTTGGGTTCAACAAAACTACCTCTCCTTCGGACACTTATCCACATATCTCGTAAGTGGGGAGTATACCAATGGGCGCTACTATAACTGGAGCTGGTCATAGCTCCAATAAATGTGAGTAAGATACCGCAGTTTTATTATATACAGCACACTTATATTGATTTATTGCACTATTGGATTTCCTGTACTGTCTGTTTTATATATCTATACGGACTTTAGCAAGGAACCTACCTTCCAGTAGAATAATCTACCATCCACCCAAGAACTTATATTGCAATTAAAGGGGTATTTCATTTGATTACTGAAAAAAGTATTTTATTGTATTCTTGTAGCGCATACTGAAAAGGGTTGGATGGATCCCCTTTTTTAGTTTGCTGCCCTGCCTATCCTTTATATAATTATATCATTATCTATTGTAAATACCTTCAACCTCATGTATAGTGAATATATGTAAATCTGAAGGAATCGCGGGATATATTTTAGAAAAATATTTATATTATGAAATCATAAAATTTAGTAAAATGCATTTTAAATGAAATATGCCTCATTTGATAACTGTATTTAATGAACAAATAAATGCCTTTAAGTATGTTTTTTGCAGGCACGTTTTACCTTTCAGATGATTAGTATTTTTAGTGATATTAAGTCTTTCTGTAGTGGTCGCTGTTCAATTTTCGGATATGAGAGATTTGTTCCTTGCTATAGCACAATGGCTGTGCACCGAACGATCTTATAATCACGAGAAGTATAACTTCTACGGATGTGTTGCTAATTGTAAAGTACATGTAGAAATGACAGAGAACCGAGGAAACACAAAAGCTTTGCAAATCCGGCTCAGCAGGAGTGAATTCTGCTGCACACGGGATTTAAAAAGCAGGAGTTTCACGGATTACTAACACATAATACGGTAAAAGTGCTTGCGCCTTACTTCACAGAAAGCTTTCTTTCTCCATCTACATCTCGAGAACCGAAAGAAAGCGTTTCTTTGTATAAATGACGCAAGTCTTAAAGTAAGCCTTAATGGGAGTTATTGTTTTGGCTGTTGTACAGTGTGTGTGACTTTGTACTTTATGTGAGTCTGTCCAATCACCCGGGTCATTAATGGTCCATATTTAATCCGTGTTACCATTTAAAACATTTGGCTTTAGACGGGTTCTTTAAAGTTAGAATGTGAAGATTACCCCGATTGAATGCAACATTA